GACCTCGTCGCCTCCGATGACCACCACAGGAACCCGAAAAGATGGCTAGGCGACTCCCTTCAAAAGACGACTCCAGGGAAAGCCTAGCCTCCAGGCTATCAGGCCATAGCCTAGTTGCCCGTGCTGCCTCTGACTCCCTGGCCTTCATGGTCAGGTAGGCCAGGAGAGTCATAGTCCCTGAGTCCTTGGTAGGTAGGGCAGGCAGGCGGACGGACAGGCTAGGCGGAGGACTAGCGGCGCTAGCCGAGCAGGATACAGGCAGGACAGGCAGAGGGCTAGCGGCGCCAGCCGAACAGATAACAGGCAGGACAGGCGGAGGGCTAGCGGCGCCAGCCGAACAGATAACAGGCAGGACAGGCGGAGGGCTAGCGGCGCCAGCCGAAGAGACAACAGGCAGGACAGGCAGAGGGCTAGCAGGCCGGAGAGATGACGGCCGGAGAGATGACGGCCGGAGGCTAGCGGTCCGGGTGTTAGCCATTTCCAGGCTAACAGACTGAGGAACTGATGAGGACTTGGCTGGGGGATTGGCTGAGGTGTGGAGGAAGTCACAAACCCACCCAGGGAGAGAGTCTGCTGCTCCTGGCTGAGCAGCCAGGCTCTTCCAGGCAAGGGACACGATAGCTGCCTTATGGCTAACATGACTAGCCCCATACCACATATTCCTCAGCACCATAAGCTCCCGGCACAGATCAAGCAGTTCATCGGACATGGTGTCCGCTGGGTCCCTTTGTGGTCCGGTCATTCTGTCACGATCGTGGTGTGGAGGCAGGTTGGAGAACCCAAACGCAGGACACAGAGCGGAGCAGGTATGGTATAACGAAGGGTTTTAATAAACAAACAAAAGCGAGCACACTTACAGGTGAGTGGCTGAATAACAGAAATCCAAAATCCAAAAGTTCCGGGAGACGAGACAAGACGAGACAAGCAAGGCTGGTTACAGGCAGAGAGTACACACACGACAGACTGGGGGGTAACATGAACAATGACCGGACAAGGACAAGACAGAAACACCAGGTATATATACACAGGGACTAACGAGCAGGGCGGGAGCAACACAGGTGACAGACATGAGACTAACGAGGCAGAGAGAGAGCAGAGGAAAACAGAGAGACTAGACATGACAAGCAGACTATATAACAGATACTGGACACTAGACAGGACAGAACCCAAAACTCAACATACCAAGGCAGATACCAAACTCAAAAGTAAACACAAAGGATGGCCAACCGGCAGAGCGTGACACTTCTGGTGTTTTGTTTATTGGTATTGTTTAGTTTTGCTCAGGTTCATGCTGCCATTAGCTAGCTTTTCGCCACAAACGACACATTCTGGCTGAGACTTGTCCTGTCCTTAGTTGGGAACCACTGCTTTTTAGGACTGACAGTCAGCATAGGTTGCCTCTTCCCTACAGAAGTATCAGTAAGATGTCTGTCTCTCTGTATCAAAGGTACAGAGAGGTAAATCAAAGGGAAATCTCCACCACAAAGACGTTCACTGTGTCTGCACTTGTTTGTGCCATGATGGCTCGGACTAGAGCTGCTGGTCAGTTTTATATATAGAAATTATTACAGATGAATGTGTTGTACGAAGGGGCTCTAAATAGTCGAATGCTTTGAGAGGAGGAGCCTGATTGGACTGCCAATCTCACAGTCAAATCTTGTCAGAGTTGTGTGTGGTAGAAGAGGAACAGCACCTGCTGTGCAATTGTGCATGTACCTTGCGGGACGTTCAAATCATTATCACCTATTGATAAACCACGCAAAGAATATTACAGAGTTTTGCAGTACCTGCAATAGACCCGCCAGGACACTTGAGACAGTACTTCACTGTTAGTTTCAGTGGGTCATGGGTACTATGTAGCTTGCCTTCTTATTTTGAAAAAGAAGAGGAGAGAGGAGCTGAGTGCATCATGGGAAAAGTCTTAAGCCTACTCTTAAATGTGGAGATGGTGTCTGCCTCCTGAACCCAAACTGGAACCTGGTTCCACAGGAGAGGAGCTTGATAGCTGAACGCTCTGGCTCCTAGTCTACTTTTTGAGACTCTAGGAACCACAAGTAACCCTGCATTCTGGGAGCGCAGTGCTCTGGTGGGGTAGTAAGGTACTATGAGCTCTTTAATATAAGATGGTGCCTGACCATTAAGAGCTTTGTAGGTAAGAAGAAGGATTTTAAATTCTATTCTGTATTTTACTGGAAGCCAATGCAAAGAAGCTAAAACAGGAGAAATGTGATCTCTTTTCCTGGTTCCTGTCAGAACACGTGCTGCAGCTTCTGGATCAGCTGAAGAGTCTTAATGGACTTTTCGAGCAGACTGATAATAAGGAATTGCAGTAATCCAGCCTAGAAGTAACAAATGCATGGACTAGTTTTTCTGCATCATTTTTAGACAGGATGTTCCTGATGTTCCGGTCTCTGTAATAGGATCTGATGGTCAATAGCATCAAATGCAGCACTAAGATCTAATAAAGCCAGTAAGAGACAAGTCCTTTGTCAGATGCAATAAGGAGGTCATTAGTAATTTTCACCAGTGCTGTCTCTGTGCTATGATGAGCTCTAAATCCTGACTGAAAATCCTCAAATAAACTATTGCTCTGTAGAAAGTCACACAGCTCTTTAGCAACTGCTTTCTCCAGAACCTTAGAGAGAAGTGGAAGGTTAGATATAGGTCTATAGTTGGTTAAAACATCCGGATCAAGTTTGGGCTTTTTCAGAAGAGGTTTAATTACAGCTACTTTAAAGCTGTGGTACATAGCCTGTTGATAAAGATGATGATGCTAACATTAAGCTAACATGAAGCCAACATGCAGAGAGAATAAGATGGTCCCAGCTCAGCACACCAGCTCTGGACTGTGATACTTGTTGTGAACTCAACCAGACGCACTTCATAGAAGGTCAGATGGTGTCAAAAAGAGGGAGTTTCCCTCCCCGAGAGTTGACCTTTTCACGTGTAAAAACCAGAGACATCGCCTGGAGTTGGTAAGGACCGAAAGAGACTCAATCAGACAATGAATTGCTTAAGGATTGTGTATTCAAAGAGCCTTAGTTAACCTTTCTAGCTGTAAAGGTGTCACTAAAGACAGTCCACAGGACAGGAAAAGGGGCGATCTGACCCCTTCTCCCTCCAGCAGATCACCTACGGCCTCAATCTGACTCTTTTCTCTCCACAGAACGGCTGAGCCATAAACCACCATTTCATTCTCTGATATCCTGTGCGATAAGCCAGGAATGCAGAGAAGAAAGACCATAAAAACCCCTGTTACTCGAACCAAGCAAGGTTCCAGTATAACTGTGTTTATTCTGTTTAAATAATAACCATGCTAAGTGAGCAGCGGTGTTAGCCTCTGAGTTAGTAAGTAATAACCCTGTTGTTATCCTTTAGTGATGCTTGAAGACTAGCAGACCCATAAGAAAGTAATCTTGAACTAGTTTTCTAACCTCTTTCTGTGTTGTTTTAATTCATCCCTGTTACTCCCTAGTAATCACTGTCTATTAAATGCTAACTAATGCTTAGTTAAATGTTTCATATACAATTTCTTACTAAATTATCCATGGAAACGCTCGTAGGCATCACCAGCCTCTCAGTTAAGGTGGAATGTCTACTCTTTTCTTGTTTGACCCGAGCGCCACCAAGGGGACAAGAAAACTCGGCTGACACTGACAGAATTGTTAAGTAGGCATAACTATCACCAAGTAATTGCATAAACGAAATTTTACTGTCATGCTTACATCTAAATTGTCTCATGAGTTAAAACCAGTAACCAGTGAGGACAGGTAATCAAGCTTTGTTTTATATAACCATTATAACATTTTCCATAGTGTTTAGCCTTGTTTTAACTGTCTTTATCCGAATGTTTAGAACTAAGTATTTTTCCAAATGTCGATATTGTGGAGAGAGGACGTCACTACCTTTGCGGGATCAATAAAAGGCCCTGCTGTCATTTGTTCGAGCTTCTTCAAAACTCTTCTTTTTAAAACTTTCTTGAAACTAAACGTATACGTTCTCTTAACTTCCTTTACTTTGAAATTCCGATTTTTGTTTCGTACTTAAATCGCCTTCAGACGAGCTGAGAAAGCTACGACCCTGAATTCCAAATTTCTTAGCGGGAGATTGGATTTTCTTTATTCTGTTTGGAGCTGCCTGTTTAACCTCAGCAACATTAAATAGCCTATATTCCCGAGGCCTCGCGAACCTACAGTGAATTTGTGAGTTTATTTGATTTTCAGAAGCCTTCATTTATGGCCTTGAATAAATGAAACCACGGCTCTGACGACAGAACCCTGAGTGGGCTCCGCTATAGTGACAACAAACGAACTGAGATCAGAGCAAAAGCCTTGGCTGACGGCCCGTTGCTGCAAGCGCTTCCCAATCCACCAGTTTCAACCCAGCTCGAAAACGCCACTGGGGTCGGGCCAGAACCGACTTCCCGAGCCAACCGGCAGTCAAGCCTCGACACGGGCAACCCTGTCTCACTCCCAAGTCGTCACATATGGACGCTTGGTCAAGAGCCACAATCGTCAGTTTGTGACGCACTAGGGATCCCTTTGACGTCATAGTTCGACGTATTGAGGGAAGCCCTGTTGTGTCAGTTTTTGATGGTAAGGGCAAGTATGATATTTAAGAGAAAAGACGAAGTAAGGAGGTGATTGGGGTGGATAGAGGGCCAGAACCCGGACCTTGAAGCAGGAGAACAGGGTTTGTGTCCCGTGCGAAACAAAACATTAAATGTTTTTATTTAGGCGAGTGAGGTAAATTGACATTAACGTTAGTTAACTTAAGTCTTAATTGACATACATAGCTATTTTAACCCAAACCATGATCTTTTCCTAACCTTAACCAAGTAGTTTTGTTGCCTAAACCCAACCAAGTACTTTCTGTGCGAAACTGCAACGTTTCACGACTTTAATTATGCGTGTTTCAACATGGCAATGTATCAAAACGTTACGTTTTATCTTGAAAGTGTAACCGGATATTGCATATTTATTGTTGCTAAGCGTTGCTAACTTGACTGTGGATCCCTAAACGTCAATAATTGATGCAAAAGGGCTACCCAAGTCTTTAAAAAGCGACGACAAAGGGCCTTGACCATGCGTCAGACATTTGACGAGTAGGGAGTGAGACTGTGTTGCCACAGGACCTGCGGCAAGGGTAGGGCAAAACAAACAACACTCTGTGACTCGTTGGTGTTCTATAGGCTCCATCCACAGTTAATAACCCTTAGATTAGACAAACTAAATCTGCAACCCAATTTCATTCGTTCCCTCATACTGGTAGAATTCTCTCCCTCTACAATATGAACTGAAATTCAATCGAACCTTACAAAGGCTATCCTGTTTTAGTACCTCCTTGTTGTCATATTAACTGTTATCCCTGTAATATTACCACATTTACCCACAATTGTACTCTCTTTTGTTAGTTAATAAATTCACCTTGAGCACAGCGACGGATGTGTGTGTGTTATTCAGAATCTAGAGTCCCTATACATAGAACTTACGCTCAGATCTGAGATTGACTGATTGACCTAACGATTTCAGAATAACAACTAATGAATTAACCGAACTTAACAAAATTTCGAGGTATATATTAATATTCCCGGAAATATAAATTTTCATAACTGTATTAAAATTTTACGTAGCCGAGGTCTGCTACTTACAACTCTCCTGCTACTAATGTCCAATTTAGTGGACAGATGATTAATCGTAATTTCCTCCCAGAATAAAATCAATAGTTTGAAAGTTAACAGTTGTATTACTCCTTAGTTGTAGCTCTGGAAAAACTAACTCACATGGGTACATACATTTGCATTAGCACAAGTAGAACAATAACATTAGATGATACTCCCTAAATGGAATTTTTCACCTGCTTATCTACTTCCTGTCAGTGTTGATTGTGAGTCTTTTCACCTGTTCCTCATTTGCCACCTCCTCTTTTGTGTATATAAGTGTCTTTGCTTTAATTACTTTGTGATCGATGGTTTGTATGTGTCGTCAAGTTTCCCTGTCTGTTTCCATGGATTATCCCATTGTATTTTGGACTATTTTCTAGATTTATTATGGTGCATCATGTCTGTGTACATTCCTGCTGGCTTAAACACCATCTCCAATTCTTCCCCCTGGTTCTTCTTGAAACCTGTGCCAACAAAAAAGAAATATGTTTAATCTATAGCTTCTTATTTGACCCCAGATTAGGGAGGATCAATTATCCTGCACTGTTAATGGGAACAAACCTAAAGCAAACCATCCTGTGTTGTTGGAAGGGTTCTACCTCTGCACCACCTGTACCATATTTTATAGTTCCTGTTCTTTTTTTTGCCATTTGTTTACATTCTTTACAGTATAATTCAATATTATATCATGAACAGTGTGTTATATAACACAGTAATTTGGCATAAAAAAGGAAAAATAATTTGTGACTTACATTTCAGTAATACCATAGGAATAATTATCACCAAAACAATGATAATAAAAATGATGATCCAAATCCAATTAAAAGAGGATGAAACTGTGAAGAAATCAGCTGAAATGATACAAAACAGAATGACATTTTTACTCAATTTAAACCTCAACTGCTTAAAACCAAAATAGTATTATTTTGGTATTATAGTAGTACCAATTTAATATTTATAATTTTATAATTCAGTTAGAACTCTTTCTAACCTGTAACCTGGATGTGAGTGTCTCTGGTCTGGTTGATGTCCTTCTGTTGGACTCTACAGGTGAAGTTGTTGCTGTGTCTCTTCTCCACAGTCACTCTGCTGCTGACAGTATAGAGGTCATCAGGACCTCTGACTGTCTCTGTAGGTCCAGCAGAGAGGAGGTTTCCCTCACCGTCCAGCCAGAACACCTCAGGCTCTGGATACCAGCCTGCAGACTCACACTGTAACACCACACTGTCACTGTTATCTGAGACAACCTGTATGATGGGTGAGGAGACAGCACCTGAGGAGGAGAGAGGAGCAATTAGGACAGTCATTTAAGATCAAACTAAACACAAAGGGCCCCTATCTTGCACGTGGTGCAAAGCGCAAATGGTTGGCGCATTTTTGTCTTGAGGCAGCAGCAGACAGGTCTAAAGTCAACGGCGCATAATTTTTTTGTTTGTTTTTTTTTATAGGGGCACAATACTCCAAAGGTAAGAGAGATGCTGTGCGACACACTGACAGGATCGGTTGGGATCTGATGTTAATGTGTATTCGTCTACACATCCAAAAGGATTCACACACATTCCAGGTTGGTTGATACAGTGAAACTGTTTGGAGACAAGCAACCGTCCTCCTGATCAATGCTGAGCTCCATCAGAGCGTCTAAATTATTTTAGAAGCTACAATTAAATTTATTAATTTTTATCCAAAGCGACTTACAGTTGCTATATATGTCAGAGGTCGCACACCTCTGGAGCAACTAGGGGTTAAGTGTCTTGCTCAGGGACACAATGGTGGATGGGTCACAGTGGAAATCAAACCCAGGTCTCTCACACCAAAGGAATGTATCTAGTTCATTGCACCATTGCCACCTCACAAGAAGCTAAAAGTTGAATTGTGTGTCATGTCACGTTTATAACTACACTTTTTTTGTATTGCTGCTTAATGTCCCACAATATTATTTGGGACTTTATTGAGCACTTGGAAAATGACTGACAGCTGCCTCTCCAATCCTGAAAGTAAATTGTTAAAGTAAACACTCAAGAAACCTGTGAGCTGTGACCCACAACCAGTTCATCATAGTTCATATTAACATCCATGGAAAGCAGTGCCAAGATGCAAGAGCACCTGGCTTTTAAAGGAAATGGGAGATGACACTCTGATTGGTTTATTGCATGTTACACCTAAAACACACACATGACTAATTCACAGACCCTTTTGAATCAACACCTGCTGAACTGACCATTTTTTTCTGCCAGAAAACTAGCTTAGATAATTAAAATAGGGCCCCATATATCACTTGGTATATTTAGTTAAACTGAGTCCTTCCTTTTCAAAACACATTCTGACTCACCAACAGTGAGTTGGATGGAAGCTTCCATCTGCAATGATTGAAGGAAACAAAAGTATTTTCCTGAGTCAGAGATTTTCACGCTGAAGATTTTCACAGAGACGTTTCCTTTAGTCAGTTCATCCACAAACAGTCTTGTACGATAATAGTAGGATGGATTTTGAAACTGATACATCAGTCGTCCATCGTGGTGAAAATGGATGTACTTTGGGTCCAAATCAGGTTTGGTCCACACCACTGTCTCAGAACCGGCACTGACTGCAGGTTCAAGGTGACATGGCAAAATGACATCATCACCAGCCAGGGCTACGATTGGTTGACGTGAACAAATCAACTCTGACAGAGCTGCAAAGAAAAGGAAAACAATGAACAAGAAACAGGAACAGGATTTTAATTCACACCTTCAAAATGTTATATTTTCTTTTAAACATCAGAAATGATTTAACAAAATTATCAAAGCTGCTTTTTTTAAAAAACAGGGAAAAGAGCAATGAACAATGGGAGCCTCAGAGTCTGACTGACACACTTTGAGCACATTTATACTGTAGGGCAGCATGTGTGGGAGTTTTAAAGATTTTCCCTATACGTCCCCTTTTTTCAAAACTCTACACACAATTCGCAAACTGCACACACAAACTGCAAAATGCCTCATATCTCCTTCAAAATGTAACACTGCATTCAAAATGCCAGAAACACATCCAAAAATGAAGCACTTGCATCAAATGGAACAAAAAACACATTTTTCATAATAGTAAATTTTTGGATATACCACATGCACACTGTTGTTCTAAATCTAAAGCTCTTTTGTCTTTTTTAGGATTATGTGTACATTTCCAAAACATCATTAGAGTTAAAGTAATCTGCTGATAGCTGCTGAGACATACACTGTAAAAACCAAATAAAATCTAACAGGAAGTGACCTGCTTTCCTTTTCCAAACACAACCAATCAAAATGCGACAAACCACGTGTGAAACACTAACTGCTTTACTAATCACTAACCAATCACTTTAGCATACAGTAGACCTATACATAGGTGAAAGGTCAGATTACCTGTTTTGAACAATGGATGCAAACAATGCAAGGGGAGGAGGAGGAAGAGGCAGGGGACGACAACGAGGACAAGTTTAAGGAGGAAGAGTTGGTAGAAGAGGAAGAGGAGGAGGACAAGGACGATGATAGCGAGGATGAAGATGATGAGGGCAAAGAAGGAGATGGCTCTCCTTCCTTCTCTTCTTTGTCCTCGTCCTCTTCCCAATAGTCCTTCCAAGTCAACTTCCTCCTCCTCCTCTTTCAACTCTTCCTCCTCCTCCCCTTGCTCTCTGTCCATTATTGGTATCCAATGTTCAAAACAGGTAATCTTACCTTTCACCTATCTATAGGCCTATACTAAAGCAGTGATTGTTTAGTGATCAGTTAATCAGTTAGTGGATGCACGAGATCCTGATCTCGTAATTATGAGATAAGGCTTCCAATTTTTTCTTCTTTGGTGAATGCAATGCGCTTCCGTATGGATGTGAGTGTGACTGTTTGTCTGTCTGTCTATGTGTGGCCCTGCGATGGATTGGCGTCCTGTCCAGGGTGTACCCCACCTTTCGCCCGATGTCAGCTGGGATTGGCTCCAGCCCCCCGCAACCCTGTATGCAGGATAAACGGTGGACGATGGATGGATGGAGTTCTCCTGTGTTTTGTTTGACCACTGTAACTTTCTTTACTGATCTTTGCAGTCAGCAGACATATGTATATGTAATTCATCGTTGTAATTCATGCTTCTGGGCAGTGTAACACATTCCTACTCCCAAATTTGTCACATGTGGGTCAAGACCCCTTGGCATCACTTTTATACGCCCTGGGCACCACGTTCATATTGTCTTTGGACTTTTTATGCTAATAATAAATATGCAATGTCCGGTTAGACTTTCAAAATAAAAAAATAATAACTTTGTGCAACATCACAATTTGGTTAGGTTAAGACACCAAAACTACTTGGTTAGCATTAGGAAAAGATCATCAAGATCATGCTTTGGGTTATAAATAACTATATAACTTATATGACTCAACTTATGTAAGTTAAGTTGCTATTATTTAAATAACGTGCTTTTAGAATTCATAGATGATACTACAGGACTTCCCTTAGTGCACTGAATTAAGATGCTGTACTGTCTTCAGTATATGTCCATCCATCCATGAATCCATCCATCCATGTATATAGTTTGAGAGCTAGCAAAACTCCCTCCTAACATCAAGACTCTGAACACTGTTGGTGTCTTGTCTACTGGTTTAATGACATTGCAAGACAATGTGAAACTATGAGAGAGCAGGTTGGGCTGCTAGTAGAACATATGATATAAACAAAAGTAGTGTGTCACAGGAAATTTAATGATCATCACAAAAAAGGCTGACTCACCAACAGTGAGTTGGATGGAAGCTTCCTCCTGCATTGATTGAAGTTGGCAAAAGTATTTTCCTGTATCCTGGATTTTTACAGAGCTGAGTTTCAGGGAGAGGTTTCCATTTTTCAGTTCTTGCTCAAAGAGATTTGTTCGGTTAATATAAGATGGATTTTGTCTCGGACACATAATTTGTCCTTGATGGTGAACATGGATGTACTTTGGGATTAAATCAGGTTTGGTCCACACCACTGTCTCAGAACTGGCACTGACTGCAGGTTTAAGGTGACATGGCAAAATGACATCCTCGCCAGCCAGAGCTACGATTTCTGTGATAGAAATCAATGGCACTGCAAGGAGAGTTACAAAATCAAATACAACGGTTAGATAGTGATAACTGGTTCATTCACAATTAAATGAACCCCAACAAATTGAAACCATACTTAATTTCATTTTCGCCTTTCTTCCACCAATTCATCTTTCAGTAATTGCACACAACCCATGGCAACATACAAGTAACCCCCCCTCCCTGGAAGAATCTGTGATGTGTAACTTTTTTAACATGAATCTGGGGTCATCTTTTCAGTGCTTGGCACAGTGAGGGCAGCGGCCACGCATGAGAACAAGCTGGAAATGCGCAGGAGGAAATGTGATTCTACCAAGCCAACCAATCACTAGTGATGTGCGATACACTTACTTCATTTACATTCCAATACCAAGTAATACCCAGGCTGGTATTGCATATACCGATACCAATACTTACATATTTTATTTCTAGTCTGTAGGTTTACTAATTCCAAATAGGAGCTTCGTAATGACAAGAAATCAAACTGCTCAGAACCGCCGCTTTGTAACATCATTATATTATTTTGACTTAATTAGTTTGTGGTGTTGCATTACTCATTATTACCTTCACAGCTATAATAAAGCCAGACGTGACTACTTTTACAGTCAGCCATAGTCAGCATTCAATCACGGGAAATGTTAAGGGCTGCAGCGGCTCACTTCAAAGGTTAAGGTCAAGGGCAACCAAGTCCAGTTGCCCTTGAACTGAACCTTTGTTGGATATCCAAGCATAATTAGACCTTCCTGGAAGTTACTTATGATAAAACACACACTCACTCCAAATTACTTAGTTTAGACGTCAATCCTTTTAAATCAGAAATATCGATATTTTAGTATCGATCCGCACATCACTACCAATCACAGTTCTTGCAGTCTACATCACTGTGACGTGTAGTTTTTTGGGGAGGTGTTCATAAGTGTCAGGTACGTGGCTTTGCGTAGGCTACGTCTACACAAGAATAAATTGGCCTTTAAAACCTGAGCCCTAAACTCTCCATCTCTAGCTTCAAACATAAAAGCCAACAACATCTAAGTAGATAAAAATCTGTCCAACATCACTGAAAGATGTGTGGATTTTCAGCTTGCTGCCATATTTCATCACAGAAAATGATGCATAAACATGCACACTAATGTATACATACCGTATGCATGTATGTATGTCCTTTCATTGTAATTTGAAAAAGTGAAACCCCTGTTCATCTGTTCTGAGTGAAATATCTTTATAAACTACAGAAATTTCATTACTCGGAAGTGAGGCTATTGTTGTGGGGTAAGAACAGTTCAGTCAGCAAATACTGTAAAGTCATGCGGATCATATGGTTCAGATGATAACTGCCTCACGTCATCATGTGACATTATGTTTAACCAAGATAGAAAGAGAAGTAAAAAGACAAATAATTTTTTCTTTAACCGACTGCTGTGGAACACATACAGACATCAATGTGTTACTCAAGTGTGTTGCACTGAAATTACCTCCACTTGACGGTAATGGCAGGATTAAATTGAAATAAAGCCAAACATTGAAGGTAATCTGCGGCAGCATCTGAAAGTTGAAAAAAAAGATTTGTATTTCACCTGTTTAGAGACAGGCCTGAGAAGATCATTGGTTATACACACACATTAAATCTCTATCTAAAATGCATGTATTGTCACATAACCACCAGCTGGACTGCAGTTAAATTCAGGCAGCTCAGCAGTTTCAACTATAACCAGTAAAAGAAAAAGAAAAACTGATCACTGGTTCTTGAGATTTTGGCAAAAACATGTCCCACTAAGAAAACTGCCAATTCCATTGAAAATCAATAACATTTTCTTATATAAGATCATCTCAGGGTCTTCTATATACATTGTATTTATATATATAATTATTTATGTATGGTGTGTGTGTGTGTGTGTGTATATAATGTGTATGATTTAAAACTGTCACACCAGCCTTTTAACGTGATTAATTTGAACTATTTGAACAAGCCGTGCTGAATTAACTCACATTGTTTTTCTGACAACAGAGAAAATAAGTGAAATCCCTCAAATGTTCATTAACAACTGAAAAGGTCTGTTACAGTTTTACAAGATAGCGCCTCCCACCTATCTGTGTTTTTAAGTATCAATTAAGTTGGACCACATTTGTTGTGAAGTTTACCAGTAAATACCTGACACCACATTGAGTACAAAATAGCATAAGCTGTAGCTTTATCCTCTGCCTGACAGGGCAAAATCAATTTATTGTAACCCACTTTACAGAGGTAGGTCACATTTACTCAAACAAGACTACAAATTTAAGTGTAATTTCCATCAGTACATATTTACACAAAATGTTGTACTTTGTATCCACTACATTTAAATTAAAACTTACTTGTACTTGTAGATTCAGACAATACAAACTTCATTTCACATTAAATTACTGGATGTCCAACAAGTTAGACACATTAGAAACTCTAATAAACAGCCATGTTTAAGGTCGACTTCACAGGAACAGCAACAACTGGTCAACAGCAAACTCCCTGAAACATATAAATGTTTCATTATTCTGGAGCCTTAGTGTAAAATCTCTAACAGAGATGTTCTCAACTTTACCCGTAGATTAATATCTTACTGTAGACAATTATTTATTTCTGAAGTCATTCATTAATCATTCATTATTAAAAATGACACTGACTACTTAAATAATAAATAAATTAACTCCAATTAAAACCCAACATTTCTAAGTTAAATTATTACCGTAATGATCATTCATAACTCATATTTTAATACAGAACATTATCTGCATGATCTTTCAGTGTTTTACACAATAAAATTACAGTGTATGTAATAAACCCAATATTTCACACACAAGTTTAACCTAACAAAAAAATGTGTATGTGAGATGATGATGAAGATGAGAAGAGTGAGTCAAGTACTTACGATCTGTGAGACATCCAGAAAATGACTCAGCTTTGGATTTGAACAAGATTTATGGACTTCCCACTTTGACTGACAACGTCGCTATATCACATTTTGTAGAATATGTCAGCTGCCAAAAAACTTCTTAATCAGCTTATACTCGGGTCAGGTGATATCCACGGCTGATATAGGACTGTAAAAAAGAGAAGTGAAAATGAATCCATACTTCCTCTTAAGAATGAAAGAGCTACTGCTGCCTCAAAGCTCTCAACTGGATCTCCCCATAATTTTCATGTGATGCTTGACTCTGTGTGTTCTAATTACACAGCAAGATTTTTGTTTGTTTGTTATTGGGGAGTGTGTTAACTGCAGCATAAGCTCTTCTTTACAAGAAGCAATTTATAGTTTGTAGTTTTCGCCGCATTGTTACTGTGTATTTAGAAATAATTTCCTCCTATACATATACATGCCTACTCTGGGCTTGCTTTTCTGTGCTTTATATTTATAAATTTCTGAGTTAAAGATTTAGTTATCCATCCTGACTTCTTGCGTCTTGATTGACACTCTGGGGCCATCCTGTCATCTTTTAATACATTGTTGTTATAAAGATTATTTATATAATTAAGATACAGATTATTTACCATACCAGTTAATCTGAGTTGTATGTGTAAAATTAACGGAACAATCTAACTGATCATATGATGTGTAGCATGTCCATATTGAAAAAAGTGTTAACATTTCCATTTGTATTGTGCACACAATGTTTTAAATCTAGAGCTGGGTATTCCCTATCATCTCAAGATATGTCACGATAAAGGCACCATGTTGATTCTGAATAATGACCATGTCCTAGAAGGAAAAGCTTTAATGTTTGGATAATTTAAGGTATAAGATACACGTTACTTTCTAATCCCAGAGTTATTTATAGGTGCAAAACAAAAATCACCATAAAATGATCTTTTCTGTTGTTTGTTGTTTCTTTTCAACACTGCGTCACAGCATTTACTGCCCTATCGATCCAGAAGCATCGGTATCTGTATGTGTATCAGCAAGGACTTCATGATATTGCTGTTTCTATATTTTGAGCACACCTCTATTTAGAGCCTTGTTCCATGTGCTACTTTGAGCACCTGTCCCTCCAAAGGTCTCTGCACGACCCTGTCAGGTAGAAGTAGCAGTAACATCAAGTTGATGAGAGATCCTAAAGGCCACACTGCTATCCAACCAGCAGAGGGTTGTTTTTCTTATTTTGTGGTTTAGATCTGTCTGTTTGAAGGGAAGTAAATGTACAAAAAGCTTTTATTGAATTATAAATTTACATTTTTACACACAAGTAAAACTATCACTTCACATATGTATGTAATACTTTTCTACTAAATGCTTAAATGCTCACGTTGGATCCTCCAGTGGTGATTTCAACATTTGCTACATTACTGAGCACCTTCTACCTTCAGTTAGGTGTGTGAGGCCTTTCTGCTGTTTCTGTCACTGGGACTGTAGAGCCTCTGGTCAAGCAAAAAAGTTGAACCAACCTAGCATTGTGTGTGTGTGTGTGTGTGTGTGTCAGAGATGCTCATAAGTCTTTGAGCCAGAGTCCAAGTCAAGTCTCTCGTGTTTTATCACCTGCTGCGTTCAATCCAGGTTGCTGATAAAACTGCATGGCTATAAGGAATTCTGTAACTGTAACCTCTTTTTGATTTACAGAGCACAACCATAAAGAAAAAATGATGGTATCATGCCTGAAGTCTGTTAACTTATAGCCTACATCCACCCAGACAGAGGTTTTTTTTGATTGCTTACATTCCCCAATGAGTATTTTTTAGTTAAAAAGACATTTAAAAGACATTGGCAAGCTGTCCAGGGTGTAACCCGCCTTTCGCCCGATGTAAGATGGGATTGGCTCCAGCCCCCCACGACCCTCTACGCAGGATAAGCGGTTGACAATGGATGGATGGACATTTAAAAGAAGTCTACAAGATTTGGTTAAAAAGTGAAATTCATCATTGATCATCGTCATCATTTCATGTAACCTGATGACATAAAATGATGATTTTAACTGAAGTTGTGTTTATAAGATGACAGGTTTACTTTAACCACCAACACATCATAAGTAAAAGTCTACTATAGTGACAAAAGTAGTATTGTTTTGCTCAAGACCAGTCTTGGTCTCGAGACCAATTTTTGATTGTCTTGGTCTCGTCTCGGATTCGACTGAATATGTAGTCTGTCTTGTCTAAGACATTGAGGATTTTATTTCAAGACCAGTCGAGACCATAACTTTGGGAATATCAATAAATGATTTTGCTTTGTCTGATTTATTTGTTAACATTCTTACTTTGGATGTAAAATGTATTGCTTCAAATGCAACCAATAACCCTATTTTAAAATGTGTTGTTACTGTTAAGTTAACCGTTTACTGTCACCCCTACCCATGATTGTAAGCATGGAAAAGATGTTTTGAAAAAGATGCTTACGTTGTTTTTATAAGAATGCGGATCTTTCAGATGAATTTGAGAAGTACCTTTCTTGTTCCACATTTCATTGTGTCTTGGTTTGGGTGGTTTTAACTACAACACTAAACAAAACTGCTTCAAAAACACCATGTGACTACTCTAAATGAGTATTTATTAAGGCACAATTTCAACAAAACATGAACCATGTTCTTTCAATGCAATAAAAAATTAAAATCAAATAGAAAAATAAATGTAAAATAAATAAAACAGACATATATCAAACATATCTTTTTTTCACTTCACTAAATTACATTTTTTGGACAAAGGCACCCCCTTCAGATCTCCCAGCCGCCTGTTTTGAGTGATCTGTCACTGTGCTGCGTGAATCTCTGTGGCAGTCGGGTTCGACCACATGACAGCCTCTATAATATTAGAGAAATAACATAATCAAGCATTCTTAACTTGCAGAGACTTACAAGTGAGCATCCATAGTTAGACATACATCATGTTCTTAGGTGCTAGAAAGTGGAAAGGCAACATGTGAAGAGAGAATAACACTTGCAGACTTGCTCCAAGCTATTTTACTGTCACTGTCGTCTTGTGCTCAGTAAATACTTGTACGGCTTGGATGAAGTGTGCAGGTGTTACACTCTCAAGGCTCTGATTCTATTATCACCTTTGACTGTAGAATAGAGTGCAGTTTCCATTAAGGCCCCCTTCTTTTTTTGTCTACCAAGAGGCCATATTTTGTTGGGGAGGAGTCTGTAAATTAGAAAGCAGTTTCAATCTATCATTTAGTAGTGTTCACCTCTTTGTAATTGCCCCATCGTGAGTCAGTGTGCAATAAAAATTTGGAAATTCCATGTCAACTCAGACAAGGTTAATCAAATGTTGTCCAAATTTTGTCTATAGATTTGGACTTGGTCACAAAGATTTTTCCAAATCCTGTTTTCATATTTTTTTCCTACCCTTGAAACTGAAACATTATAGTCTCAAAAATGCATCACCTGGGTCCTGCATATGGCAGCTGCAGCTGTATTGCTTTTAGCCTGGATTATGTATTTGACGTCTTTACATTTGTTTAATATATTGGATTATATTGTAAAATATGCTGCTCTGCTGCCAGTGGACTTGTCTATGTTTGAGATTAGTCATCTGCTGCTGACACTGACCCTTTTAATGTGATCAACCTCATGGTTGGGTTAGGAAACCCTGAGTTGACTTACTGAGTTGATAACCAGCGTTGTGTGCAATACACAGTAATACTAGAACAATAATACTAGAACTTTAGCATAAAATTATGATTACGGACTTGGTCTGCACTCTACCTTCCTCAGTTGTTCTCTGGTTCTCCGGTTCCTTTTGAGCCTCGAAACCATCGGTCTCAATGTTTTCGTCTCGTTTGTCCTCGTTTTTTTACTTGTTAATTACTGTTCCTCTTGATGCCTGTGTGCCAACAGAAGAAGAACTCTGTTAAATTTTGCTTTGTCTTCAAGTCGCTCTGCTTCAGAACAGAAACATGAGAAAATGAGAAACCAAAGAAGTAGAACTAACATGATGGTTAAGTTCAGAATATTCAGTTTACAATATTTAAGTTTTACATTCCAACATGAGGCAAAAAGCATTTCAGACGAGTGCCACTTCTTAGTAACACATTATTAGGATTGTCTGCCTAGAGATAGTTTATTAAGTTTTGTCTTTAGAGCTTTGTCTTTAGATGTTGATCGATTATATGTGACCGTTCTTAACATAAGATGTTTCCTGTGCCTTAAACTAACCAAACCTTAACCATCAGAAAACGGTTTTATTTTTGAATCAATTTAACTGTTGAATCTCGGTGTTAACCCACTTCTTTATTTTGTTCTTCTTTGACCCTATATTATAGTGCATTATCTTGTTCCACTGATCTCCCCCTCCTCTGTAACAGGCTTCCAGACAAACCAGTAAGAGTCACTGGTGCACTGACAAAGACATACAGGTGGGAACACTGACAATTGTACTTATAGTGGCTATTTGTCCATAAACTTAAACAAAAACAAATAATAACAAACTTCTCAAATGGCCACTTGAGGCTACGTCATGGTTAGGCTTTACGCAGGTTCAGAGGTACCTAAAGCAAGGTAATGTCCATAACAAGACTGAGTTTGAGGAGGTTTATTCACACACATAAGCAAGCTTACAGACATTTCTGCTGCCTCTCTCACGCTGGTAAAAAACCATATGCCCTCGTGCCTGTGGCACCTCTCACCTTGACCTACTTATGCAAATGAACATAACACCATGTGACCAACAAACCACAATGCAAGTAAAGCATAAATACAAAATAAACCAAATTAACTTTAACAAGAAAAGAAAATAAATAAATTGGGCTATAAATTAACTCAAACCCAAAATAAACAAAAATAAGAATATAGCTCCAACAGTACTGAAGAAACCTAAAGCAGGATACAAGGTATCCAGAACTCTGTGGTGTTGGCCGAGTGCTACCTCTGCAACACATTTTATATTTACTATTCTGTTTACTATTTCTGTTTTGCAATCCACTGACGATTTGGAATTAATTCCTACCTATAACTATAGCAATAAACATGTCTGACAGAAACTTCACACAAAAAGGAAAATGTGCATGACTTACAGTCAGTAAGTGTGTGATAACATAGTACTACTATTAACACAGAGGCTGCAAAGCAAAGAGGAAAGATGACGCCCCAAATCAAATCAGTAGAGGGCAGATCCTTGAAGAAATCAGCTGAAATGATAACACAGAACAGCAGAACTTTTTTTATCAAACTAGACTTAAATTGTTTATAACCACAACAGTGGCATTATGTATAATTCAGTTAGAAGTATTTATTACCTGTAACACACAGGTGTATGATCATTTTAATTTAATTTCTAACCTGTAACCTGGATGTGAGTGTCTCTGGTCTGGTTGATGTCCTTCTGTTGGACTCTACAGGTGAAGTTGTTGCTGTGTCTCTTCTCCACAGTCACTCTGCTGCTGACAGTATAGAGGTCATCAGGACCTCTGACTGTCTCTGTAGGTCCAGCAGAGAGGAGGTTTCCCTCACCGTCCAGCCAAAACACCTCAGGCTCTGGATACCAGCCTTCAGACTCACACTGTAACACCACACTGCTGCTGTTATTTGAGACAACTGTATGATTAGTGTGGAGACAACACCTGAGGAGGAGAGAGGAGGGATTAGGACAGTCATTTAAGATCAAACTAAACACAAAGGGCCCCTATCTTGCATGCAGTGCAAAAAGCTAAAAGTTGAATTGTGTGTCATGTCACGTTTATAACTACACTTTTTTTGTATTGCTGCTTAATGTCCCACAATATTTTTGGGACTTTATTGAGCACTTGGAAAAGTTTTAAAATGACAATTGACAATCCTGAAAGTAAATTGTTAAAGTAAACACTCATAAAGAAACCTGTGAGCTGTGACCCACAACCTTAAATAATTAAAATAGGGCCCCATATATCACTTGGTATATTTAGTTAAACTGAGTCCTTCCTTTTCAAAACACATTCTGACTCACCAACAGTGAGTTGGATGGAAGCTTCCTTCTGCAATGATTGAAGGAAACAAAAGTATTTTCCTGAGTCAGAGATTTTCACGCTGACGATTTTCACAGAGACGTTTCCTTTAGTCAGTTCATCCACAAACAGTCTTGTACGATAATTGTAAGATGGATTTTGAAACTGATACATCAGTCGTCCATCGTGGTGAAAATGGATGTACTTTGGGTCCAAAAGGTTTGGTCCACACCACTGTCTCAGAACTGGCACTGACTGCAGGTTCAAGGTGACATGGCAAAATGACATCATCACCAGCCAGGGCTACGATTGGTTGACGTGAACAAATCAACTCTGACAGAGCTGCAAAGAAAAGGAAAACAATGAACAAGAAACAGGAACAGGATTATAATTCACGCCTTCAAAATGTTATATTTGCTTTTAAACATCAGAAATGATTTAAAAAAATTAAAAAAACAAAAGAGCAATGAACAATGGGAGCCTCAGAGTCTGACTGACACACTTTGAGCACATTTATACTTTAGGGCAGCATGTGTGGGAGTTTTAAAGTTTTTCCCTATACGTCCCCTTTTTTCAAAACTCTACACACAATTCGCAAACTGCACACACAAACTGCAAAATGCCTCATATCTCCTTCAAAATGTAACACTGCATTCAAAATGCCAGAAACACATCCAAAAATGAAGCACTTGCATCAAATGGAACAAAAAACACATTTTTCATAATAGTAAATTTTTGGATATACCACATGCACACTGTTGTTCTAAATCTAAAGCTCTTTTGTCTTTTTTAGGATTATGTGTACATTTCCAAAACATCATTAGAGTTAAAGTAATCTGCTGATAGCTGCTGAGACATACACTGTAAAAACCAAATAAAATCTAACAGGACCTGCTTTCCTTTTCCAAACACAACCAATCAAAATGCTACAAACCACGTGTGAAACACTAACTGCTTTACTAATCACTAACCAATCACTTTAGCATACAGTAGACCTATACATAGGTGAAAGGTCAGATTACCTGTTTTGAACAATGGATGCCAACAAAACAAGGGGAGGAGGAGGAAGAGGCAGGGGACGACAACAAGGACAAGTTTAAGGAGGAAGAGTTGGTAGAAGAGGAAGAGGAGGAGGACAAGGACGATGATAGCGAGGATGAAGATGATGAGGGCAAAGAAGGAGATGGCGCAGAGTACAGATTGTTATGTTCTGATATGTTGATGATCAGGAGGCTCTATTTGGTTGTTATCATCATCACTCAGATTAATAGGGGCGGCTGTGGCTCAGGAGGTAGAGCGGCTTGGTCGTTAATCGGAAAGTCGGCAGTTCAATCCCAGGCTCCCCCCATGTTGAAGTGTCCTTGGGCAAGTCATTGCCTCTGTCGCCCAGTGCTTGCTCTTGGTGGGAACTGTTGGGCTTCTGTAAATAGCATCATAGAGTACGGTCTAGACCTGCTCTTTTATGAAAAGCGCTGTGAGATAACTGTTGTTGTGATTTGGCGCTATATAAATGAAATTGAATTGAATTGAACATGTCTATTTTGTCTAGATAGTTAGTTGGTTTTCAAGATATTTATTTGTTTTAAAGTTTTTTTTATTCCAAAAAACTGTACATTTATTATCTTTTTATTATTATTTTGGTATATATATTTTGTATATATATTTTGGCATGATTTCACCATTATAAAGACATATTTATGAAATTAATTCAACATCAGCACAACAACAGCATGTTTTTAGAAAATTATTTGTCCCATATTAGACTTATTTTTTTGTATCAAGTTACATAATTCTGTTAAGTAATTCCTCTGGAACTATAATATGTCAAAAAAATATCCTAAACTTTGAAATTTCCACCAAAAAGACTCTTCATGTCTGCAGTGATTTTGATGATTTTAACTTCCTGTAAGGAGAGTATCTTAAAGAAACAGTGTCAACTAGTGGATTTTTTTTAGCACAGCATACCTACACCAAATGGTAGAGATGGCTTAAAGAGGTTGAATTAAGTTCAGTACATTTTTCAATGAGATACAGTGACTTAAAATGTGGTCTTCCAAATGGTTGAGAGGACATTAAAGGGTTAAGGAAATTCCAGTCTGGTAAATGATGAATGAGCAACGCCTTATAAAATTTTTAATTAATATTGTTAACGTATCGATCCTTCCTCCACTCCTGCTTTTTAGAGCCCATCATGGTCCGCGTTGGCAGCATTCATATTTCTAGCTCCACCTGATTAAAACGAAGGCTCTGCCTTTATTTACCCGTTGCCATGGTATCAGAGCTCCATTGATGATGGCTTTTTTTCATCCCCACGCATCAGGCTCAACATACACAAGAGTTGACTGAACTTATTCTGATCGGCCTTTCTGAAACCAAAAACTCGGAGTGTGACAGCTCAGAGTTCGTCAACCCAGAGTTCAGGTTTACACTCAGAGTTTGTTCAACCTGCTTTCTGAAACGGGGACCTGGTGATTAAGTGTAGCATCTTGATTGGTTGTGTTTGGAAAAGGAAAGCAGGTCAATTCCTGTTAGATTTTTGTGTGTTTTGTGCAATTGAAAACTGAGTGAATGGCTGAGAAATAGCTAATGGTTTTGGAGATTTGAGATGAGGTTTTGCTCTTTGAGTGAGAGGTTTCAAAAATCGTGTGACATGTAGGCCTAAAGATTTCATGTGTAAGCATGTTGTCTTATAATTTCTCATTCTACTTTTGTTGACGACAGTTTATTTTCTGAATCTGTATATATCTAACCATAAAAAGCCTCAGAGAGTTTGACACTGAGTAAAATTATCCTACCATCAGTCTATAAACAGTCAGTATCAGGGTGAAGTACAGCATCAACTTGTCACTTGTTTTAAACTACGTTGGTGAAGATGGTAAAATTACACCTGTTATAAATCACTGTCATTGTGAGCATGATAGCATATGGGCATTAGCACTGAGCTTAAACCACATCTAGTATAACTTTACAGTGCTACCAGCGTAATGAACGTAGAATAAAAAAAAGTGTTATATTGCCAATAAATGAATACATTAGTTTTGATGTGAATGATTACAGTGCCGTTGATTTTTATCATCTCTTCAAGCGTGAAGTCATTTTACTTTGTTTTTTAGTGTCACATTCTTGTTTTTCCAACACATCACTACCAAAACTCACTACTGTGTACTTAGCGTTTTTTATTGAAATTACCTCCAACAGACTGTATTAGAAGAATGACATGATGGAGAAGCAAAACACTGCAGGTCCCGAAGGACACTTCATTACTGGACTCTATATTTGGTTGCAGCATCCTGGACTCCTGAAAATGAAAAACAAAAGACTTATTAGTCTGGTTGTTTCCATAAAAAAAGCACAGGCGAAACATTTCTTTACTTTTGTCTGGGCATGGTACAAAGTCTGGATTCTAGTTTTTGCACTCTGTCTGTTTCGGGGCTCAGACAGCGTTATCCATTTTTTTCACTCCAGATCTGTTCCTTCTTCTGTTTCCTGTTTCAAACTGACTAAAACCACAGAGCACAGACATTTGAGATGTTGGTGTTCATTGATGCAGAAAACCCTTGACAGTCTTATAATGTCTGAAATGTTTATAAAGGGAATCTTATGTGTTGTAGGCTATGTTTTTCCCCTTGTGTAAGTGAATTCAGTATACTTTCAAAGATGTTTTTATCTGAATTTTTTTTACTCGACCAACTTGACTCATCTACTCAGACTGCTCAAACATCATGTCACTGGTATTTTCAGCCTAACTCAAAAATTAACATTTACACAGAAAGAGGAATGTAATTCCCATCTCTCACACTGACCTTGTGTTAGAACCTCACTTCAGGAAGAACAATTACAGCCATCAATACATCTTTAAATGTCCATAATGGGGTGCGAGTTTTGCATTAAGATAGACTTATATGTTAAAATCGAAATGGACACTCACTGCTTCTCACTGTCACACCAGCTTTTTAACATAATTAAATTCAGTGGTGGAAAGTAACGAAGTACAAGTACTTCGTTAATCTACTTAAGTAGTTTTTTTTAGTAGTAGTAGTAGTATCTGTACTTTACTTGAGTATATTTAGTTGTTGCAACTTTTTACTTTCACTTTGCTACATTTCAAAGCCAAATATCAACTTTTTACTCCATTACATTCTGCACGAGACCGTTACATTGGTATTAGTCCCCTATGCAGCGCACCTGAGTGGAGCAGCACTGAAAAACAAATGTAAACTGATAAACTCGGCGCGAATCATCTTCAGCCAGCTGATGCGACACCGGCATCCACAGTGATGGTCCAGCGCAGAGCTGGACGGCCCCGCCTCACTTTCCTTTCAAAGGTGAACGCAATGTGAATGTTTACAACTTTGATGAGAGGAAGAAGATCCTTCAAGGCACGAGAAGAGAAAAAAAATTGAATGAGAGTGAAGTGCAGGAAAATCAAAGGTGAAGTCTGATATTGATCACACTTATGGGCCTTTCAGACAGACTGCAATGACCACACTGCCTGTAAAGTGTAATTTATACTTCTGCCTCAAATCGATGGCATAGGCAATGGACAGAGGCGTCACCTGACATGCACCTCCTCAAAAATTTAACTACACGTCAATGCGACGCGGACCATAAGCACTGTGATTGGTCAGCTGGGTAGCCTTGCAATGCCTCCGAGCCCACAGGAAGTGCCTCGTACTTTGTAGTAACATTTTCTAGTGGCCAAAACGGCAGCTGTAACACGGTGGATCAATATATTTGACCGTCGAGCGAAATGACTCATTTGACTAAGTGCGTAGCCTATGCTGTAGCTACACATGTAGAGCCTTGCAGGTGTATAAATCAATCTAAAGCAATTCTTTTGCGCCACGCCATGTGGTTTGTTGTTGCCCAGAGCATATGGCAAGGCTGCACAGTGCACTGCTTGGCAACCTTGTGCACAGGCTGCGGTCAAAGTTAAGAATAGTTGAAGCAGCGCAAATTGCTTCCTATCTGAAAGGGCCATAATGTGCAGCTGCAGTGAATCTCTGTATGTGTCTCTCCTGCTCACCAGCTGAGCAGCGCAGCTTTTGTCTGTCCTGTCTTGGTTGTCTGACTGTGACTGAACAATGTTGAGTGAAATACAACTAGTTATTACGTTTGATAAATACAGAGTTATAAACTGCAGCTCTGAAAGATGATCTCGTTGTGCGTGGAAATGCGTTCATATGCATGAAATTAAATGCACGCATTGGAGCAAGAAACATCTGTGGGACCGGTCCAGACAGGGTGTGAGGGCACTCCTCATACATCATTTAAAAACACGACAGTGAAGTTTAGCTACAACTCTGGACTAATGCAAGATGGGAGGTAGTGGATTCACATTTACTGCATGTACATGATGTTAATGTTGAAGATTAGACCTTTACTGTTACAGCATTTCACTTTCATCAGACAGAACTCGGCGAAGTGTGCGCCAATTCAAAGGTCTGGACCTCGGCAAGTTTATTTGAATGATGAATTTTTACTTATTTTTCACTTGTCACATCACACTGTGGATAATTCAGATTGACTCAAATCGGCCCGGCGCCATGAGGAGGCAGAAGGGGGCTTTGCCCCCTCAGTTGCATTTTCGCGGTATTAATTTCTCTCTTTAGATAAACATTTTGTGTTTTTACTGGCAACACCTTTAGTCTACTACTAAACAGGCATGCAGACTTGCTCAGTAAGGAGAGGCTGATGGTGAGGGGGGTTAGGACAGTAATGTGTCTTGGATTCATTTTGCATCTGACGGTTCATCATCTGACAGCGATCCACTTGCACAAAGTAAACATGCACAAACACCGTATTCATTTTCCTCTGCCTGCAGCAAGGATGGGCTGAATAGAGTGAAAACATTTAGGGAGACATGATCATAAAAAACGAATGATGCAGCACCGACATTTTGCCCACAGAATGAGAATAGACACAGAAATTGTCACAGCAGGCTGAAAACCTACAGTTATCAAAAAGACCAAAAGGATTATTGGCCCTATCTTGCACCCAGCACAAAGCGGCGCAAGGCGCATCGAAGATGTCTAGTTTCCAACCGCCGCAGTTGAAATTTGCAGGCCAAGCGACCAAGTTGTTTAAATAGAAAATGCACTTTCACCCATCTGTGAGCTCATGGGAGTGTTGGTCTTTAAATGAGGTGAGGTCAGGCACATTGTTGGCGCGTTGCTATTGAGGCAGCAGAAAGCGATAGTTATTGTTACTTTAGGGCCAACTTAGGCCTACTGTGACACTGTGCACCTTTACGCACGAGGCACAGCAGCGTAACTTCATTGATTATTAAAATCTCCTGACACGCCGACAGGATCGGTCAGGATCAAAAGTTAATAATGTTCTATGTTCTTTTACAAATCCAAAAGCTCTCACACAGTCCAGGTTCATCCTGAGAAACTGGAGTAAAGCAGCCATCCTCCTGATCAGTCCTCCATGAGAGCGTCTAAATTATTTCAGAAGCTAAAAGTTTAATTCTGTTTCCTCTGGAGAGTTTCCTCTGTCTTGTCATGTCAAGGTTTGAACTTCAGTTTTTTCTGTTTTTACTGCTTACTTACTTACTAATGTGTATCAATATATGAACAATGCTTTATAAATGATGAATTCCGTATTTACTAATACTTAACTAATGCTTCATAGTGTGTAGTTATTATGTGTTATTTTTATAACCTACATTTATTTGCTAATAGTGCTTTATCTTTAAAGTAAAGCAATGCATGTTTATTTGTATAGTATATGTCACCAACAAGGCAATATAAACTGCTTTACATAAAACCTAAAAGCAACATACGATTATATATATCCATATATATTTTAGAAAAAAAATTACCCCCAAAACAGGACAGTAAAAGTAACAGTGCAGTGTAAAACATTAATAAAAGAATTAAATAGAAAATAAAAACAGGTAATTGGGCTTTTCACCTTCTACAGTTTTATTGATTTTTAGATTTCCCTTCTCTCACACCAGGCAGTAGATTACTTTAAATTAACTTTTAAATACTGAATTATGGAATATGTGGTTTATGGTAGTTTTGGTCTCAAATATCAATAGTTTTGACTTAATCAAAGGTTCAAATGTTTCTATAGGCTAATGTTTGAATGAAATGTGTAACTTTATAAGAATACACTTTTTCATGTGAAAAATCCAAAATTTCTAAGTAATAATCTATTTTATATAGATTATAATCCATTATGTTATGATCAAGATCATAAAATTATGAGATATTCAACATTTAACTTGGAATTTTTACTTAAAAGAACAACTCTTACCTCTCACCAGTGTAGAGAACAAACTCTTTTGTCTGAAATGAGGAAGTACGAGTGAATGTTAACCCAGTCTGCTCAAACGCCCACTAAAGCCTTCACAATAAAAAAAAAACAAGTTGTTTCAGTAGTTTCCTGCTGTGTTTACAAACATTACAAACTTATTTTTTAGGAACAAATAATGTTATGTAGGAGGAAATATTACTTTAATAATGTTGTCAAAACATCAGTGACCACATTCAAGAGCCTCCTGGAGTAAGGGCCCTATGATGTAAGCAAATGCTGTGAAGCGCATGGCTAATGGCAAAGTTTGGTTTGGAGCGGGTCCAACTCCAATTCTGCTAGTTTGACTGCAGAAAAAAATGTTTCGAAAAGGTTGTGCTTAATCTTTGAAAATGTGTCCTGTGGGTGTTGGAGGTCACATGCAATGTACTAATCATAGTGAATGGAGCAGTATAAAAACAATCAATTGACTGATTGAAATGATGGAATCAGACGACACTGTTTCTTGACATCTAGAGATACATGGAATTTTATTTATCTATTTAGTCAGTTCATTTTTGCTCAGAGATTTAGACTTTTCCTGTGGTAATTTGATTACAAATGTTTTAATGTTGTTTACAGTTAATGTTAAAGATAAAACTTATATGTAGTTGCACTTTTTTTCAAACTTGTGTTTGAGTAGAAGTTTAATAGGATGTTCATTGTTGCCATGTTTAGTTGAAAGTTATGAAATGTTTACAAAATAAATTGTGTGTTTGATTTTGTGCTTAAGAACTAAAACAGTAACTAACCTCTTTTCCACATCCATCTTTTATTAATAGCTGCAAAGGATTGTTTATCGTTATTGAGTGCATAAAATAAATAAATGTATTGTATGTACGCATTCATGCCAATAAAGCTAATTTGAATTAAAAAAATAAAGGGTTTATTAGCATTCATAAGGCATTGTTATAAACCTCTTATAGGCCGATTACTGTCAATAAACATCCTATTTACATCATTAACATGAGTCATTAACATAAGTGGTCTGTCAATTGTTAACAAGTTTCTAAAAAGTGCTCATGCCAACTAGCGTTTGGGGGTGTAATTGCAGAATGACGGACAGACCTACGCACAAGTATAAATGCATGGCTACATGCGTAGCCTACGGCATAGGTACTTACGTAGACCCTACGCAGGAATATAAATGGGCCTTAACTGCTTACCAAAGAACCAGTAGTCAAGCTCTTTCCCATTTTAGAGGTGTTGTTTGTGATTTAGCTGATTCAAGCTATCACTGCTGCTTTTCTTTCTGCCACTCAGTGAGCGTAACTGCGTTCTGTGACATCATGCGCATACCCTCTATATGCCCAAATGTCATATAATTGCTGCAAAATGTCTCCTCATGCCATGAAGGGAGGACAACCAGTGGAAACTCAGACTGATAAATAATTATACAAATTTTCAAATTATTATTATTTTGATTGATTGATATTTTAATAATTGTTTTGTTTTTACATTTGATACTGATTTCTTTCTTTAAATTATTATTATTTAATCAATTAATTTAATATATATTAACACACACACATGCTGACTGTTTTATTTATTTATTTTATTTTAATTTTTAATATATTTAAATTTTTATAACACAAACACACATATGCTTTAATTACTTTACGCTTTAATTAGTTGGGGTTGATTGTTTTTATATAGTTTGTATGATGCTTTGGCAACATTGTTGTTACACATTCATGCCAATAAAGCTAATTTGAATTAATTGTATCTTTTTGCACGTTGCCGTTTGTGTGCAGCCACTTAGGCTATATGATAATATGCTTCTACTGTGTGCCAGCGGCCAGCAGTGCATACAATAATAACATCATGAAGGGCAGAATTGGGTCTTTGTTGCAAACTGGCAGACATATGGGGCAAGTAGTGTTTATGGGTTTTCGTGTGTGTGAGAGAGGGAAATGTTGAATCACGTAAACCACATAATAAGTGATGCAATAATTTAAACCTCTCTCTCTCTGTCTCTCTCTCTCTCTCATTATTTATTTATTTAGCTTATTTATCTCATAATGTGATCTGTATCAGATCGCATTTTAATACCAGGTGTAAATGTGGCGTGAGACCTGCACGAAGCTCAGATTATAACTTGAACCCTGTTTGTCGCGGAGTGATACGGACCTTTACAAAGCAATTCGACATCATACCCGTTGTAAACACTCATTATATCACTGCTAAGAACCAATCAGATTGCTTGATTTGAGCTACCCCTTTTATAAAAATACTTTAGAAACCAGTAATAAATGAGTTTTATGATATTACTCACACTCATTAAGTCTCATTTATGTTAGTAATCATTTCATTAAGGTTATTGGGTAAATATAACTTGTTAACAAGTTTTTAAGAAAAGCCTTTAAGTGTCTTATAAGCCATAATAGCCAACATGTGTTAATTGTGCTTCAATTAACACCTATATGGACTTACTTACCGTATGTTTATAAGCATCTTATAAGTTAATACAAGTGTCTTAATGTATTGTATGTGGGCTATAAAAGCTTTTTTTGAATAAAAAAAAAAAAAAAACCTTAGATTACATTCTCAATAACTGAACATGTAAACAATTGCACATCACCAAATATTTGCTGCTAGAACATGCAGATACAGCAAGAGAGAATAAGCATATTACATCTAGTTTATTCTTTTGCCAGCACTCTTTAATTTTGAAGCTACGGGAGACCGTTTCTTAACCACTACATGACTGTCTACAACTTAAAGATTTCACACTGTTACACATTTTAAAGTGGAGCTAGATCACTCTGTTTGTCTGGAAGCTGTACTAGGTTCAGCTCACATTTATTTACATGTCCTCTCCTCAAGTTTGGACTGTAACTAGGCTATACAGACACTAAGCCCACTCACCACCTTAAGAAACCTCCACTCCTCCACCTCTACCCACTGCCTGCACCAACCAAGGACTAAACTCTCCACCATGGGAGACAGGGCCTTCCAGGCAGTCGCCCCACGGCTCTGGAATGCCCTCCCAGAGCCCCTAAGGGCCCCACAAACTCTGGAGGTTTTTAAGAAGGGCCTAAAGACTTTTCAATTTCAAAAGGCCTTTTAACAGTCGTGGTTTTTAAATCTTTTGTTACGGTGTTTTATTGCGATTGTTATTTTCTGGAACTGTTTTTAACCCCTTGTTGCTGTAGCACTTTGAGATTTCCCTGAAATGTAAAGTGCATTATAAATAAAATTTATTATTATCATTATTAAGCCTAGAATAAGTTAAACGCTATAACTGCTCTACAAGACATTGTGCCCTCCGACATCTTAATCCGAGCCCCTGACTACTAGAGTCTGTGAGTCTGCTTGAGTTTTGGTAGTTTTTGTTACAGAGCTGTTTAAAGACACTAAACATTTTCATTTGGCAAGTCTACTTGCAGAGCGCTGCATTCTGTAATCAACAACAAACCCACTTCCTGTTGCACATGTTGAAATCAACGACATGATGGCTTCCTCAGTTCTGTTTGTTTTGATCAGTCTGACCCACTTGTCTCCCCCTCCCCCCACGTGTGAGAAATGTCTGACAACCTCAGACTTTCACTCCAATCCTGCTCACGTGACTCTCACATCCGCCTACATCAGTCTCTAAAACAGTCTTTTCTCCTCATGTCAATGTGTGATAAAAGTACTTCACTGAGTATCTGAACACTTCTTCCACCACTGGTGGCTTTATGTTTCTACAACTACAAACTACAATAATGTGGGGACGTTAATTTTCATTTTGCAGTGCTACTGAAGGTCGTGTCAAAGTAAATAAATGAAAAACGAGTTGGTTCAAACCTCATCCCACATTACTCACAACAAATTACCTATAATGTGTATTTAAACGATTAGACTGTTGCACAAAGTGAACCAGGGCCGGCCTGTGGCATAGGTGACATAGGCAGTTGGGCGCAAAATGTCAGGGGGCGCCGCAAGAGAAGGTTTTCGATTTGGCGCAAATGAACTCATCCCTGCAGCTGTGACACCGGCGTACGCCGTGATAGTAATTAATTGCACCTCGGGCTGTGAGTCCAGACAGTTGTGACGAGTCGTGTTTTGCCATATAAACATCTGAAACCCGAGGCGCAGCCGCTTGCTTTGTTTGGGACTGTGAGCTGCTGAAGTTAACGTGTGTGTGGATTTGTGGTGAGTGTTTCCAGTTGGTTTAGGTTTCACATGCAACATCCAGTCTGTGCACTGTGTCAGTCAAACGGTCTAAAGGGGATAAGTCCTGCCACGTCTCCAGTTTGCTCTCCAGTTGATGAAGATCAGGTGTAATGTTTAGCAGCCGACACCAGCCGGTACTTTGTGTAGTAAAATTCAGACACATGTATAAATACCCCATGTAGAGTAGATCCAGTAAATAACTCACAGTGAAAGAAACAGCAGGTGATGCACAGACAGGTGGTCGTCCGCTGTCTCGGTCCGTGGTGCTGAACTCACCCAAAAATCACTCCATCTGCTCCATTCAGCTTTAAATGATGTTATTAGCTAGTTAGCTAGCTTTTACTCAGATAACCATCACTGTAAAAGCACCAGAGGTGGAACAAGGATTCAGACCCTTTACTGAAGTAAATGTACAAAATACCCCACTACAAGTAAAAATCCTGCCTTCCAAACCTTACTTAAGTAAAGGAACGTAGGTATCATCGTCATTTACATTTATTCATTTAGCTGACGCTTTTATCCAAAGCGACTTACAAGGAGGTCGCACGCCTCTGGAGCAAGTACAGTGTGTGCAAGAAAGGTGTCAGTTATCTCTAAGCTTAAACCTGGCCCACTTCCTTCCCTTCACACAGTGAAACACAGTCAAGTACACAATGTCTGGCACGGGTAACAAAACACTACTACAAGCTCTGAGTCATGTGTTCCCAAGGCAAGCAACTCCGGTCAGATTGGTGCCCCAAACGCAGACCCGGCAGGCTTTTAAGCAGGTGGTGGTTGTCACTGTCGCCCTTTGATTGGCCCGTAGTAGCACGCCGCACCAAGTGATGGCATGGTCACCGGAAACCCAGGAAGTAGGCGGGACCTTCCTCCTCGTGCAGCCAATCCTCCGCATGGGCTTGCACAGCCTGCTCAGCATACCAGATAGCCTACTCAAAAGCACAGGCAAATACAGGTGGGGGCGGTGGCAGCTGTAACAAGGGGTTAAATGTCTTGCTCAGGGACACAATGGTGGACACATGCCTTTGGTCTATCACACCAAAGGCATGTGTCTTATCCATTGCGCCATCACCACCCATCATCAAAATATACATTTTTCAAAGTGAAAGTACTCATAGTGCTGTAAAATGTTCCTTTATGTTATGTTTCTGGATTAGTATTCCTACGGCATTAATGTGTTTGTTGTATTTCACTGCTGTAGATGTTTAAGGTTGAGCTCATTTTAACTTCTTTATATCCTGTTGCGTAGTTTAATCTACAGCGAATCTAAAAAATTGTCATCTTAAAAATTACTAGGAAGGAAAGCTGTCAGACAAATAATGGTCAGTAAAAAGTTCATTATTTACCTCTGGGGTGTAATTGAGTAGAAGTTAGTTGAATAAAATGGAAATACTCAAATAAAGTACAAATACATTGAATTTTTTCAAGTACAGTTCTTGAGTAAATGTACATAATGTATCTGGTAAAAGCTACTTTCTCTGACTTGACATCATTAGACTGTAGTGGTTCACATGGAGATCCTTAAATATAGTCGGAAAGTAAGACTAACTTAAGAAAGTAAGTAAGACGGAAAGCTGATGAACTTAGTTTAAGGAGTCCTGGAACTCCACAGGCTTCTTGGGGTCACATACATTCAGAGGCTCTTGTGGGGAAACAAAGAAAAGGTTGGATGATGATGATCGAGGGGTTTCCTGTGCAAAGAAGCAACAAGCCTCCAGGTCTGAGCCACATCCAAGGATTCCCAGGACTCCTTAAACTAAGTTCATCAGCTTTCCTTCTTTTGAGAAGAGGCATCCTGGATCTGTGTCCATGGCTCTCAGGGAAGTTCCAGGACTGCTTTACTATATTTAAGGATTTCCAGGATCTTTTCAGGAAGACTTATCCAGGTACGCTTCAGTTTTATATCCCAGTAACATTATTGTCATGCCAACCTGCATTATGGCAGGCATCAGAGGATTTATTATCTCTACATTCACTACATTATTCAGAGAGACTAATTAGTGGCATGATCATTCATTATGATGTGTTAAAGTGTGTTAAACCGCAGCAGAGAATAAAGACTGAGATCAGTGCAGTTCCACAGTTTGACCACCAGAGGGAGGCAGATGGAGAGATTTTACTTGAGTTAAAGTAGAACTGTATTACCATTAAAGTGGAATCAAGGTACAAGAAGGTAAAGCATTCATTATGCAGAATGGCACATGGCAAAAATATCTATTCTATATTTTTCCTTTCCTGCAAGATGCCTATATATATAACATTCATTTATAAGACACACAAAATGAGTTATAGACTTAGAGCTACGGTAAGTATATCGCACATACAGCCTGCTAATCACACAAGTTAACATGAACACAGGAAGAGGCACCGAGGTGGGCTGTGCAATAATACACTGTGGCATTTCCACAAGGAGACTCTTATCAGCTCGATCAGTCACTTGGAAAAGCAGATGATTGGCTGCAGAAGACGGACGAATTTAAATAAAAAAACAACAACATATTACACAAAACTGCAGCCAGGACAGCTTTCAATTCACAATTTACACAGCAGCAGGTGTAATATGACGGTACAGTTAGACTTCTTTTATCATTTCAGTGTGTCAGGCAGCAAATTATGCTATCATTGAATTCTTGTTCCTCGTCTGTGCCAGAGTTCCCTTTTTATACAAAAACCAATAAAACACATCAATGACTCACACTGTTGTGCTGGTGTCATGTTCCTTTTTTTTAAAATCTATGCATATTTTAAGACCGTCAGCCTTAATCTTGTTTTCATCTTTCTTGACCACATTTTTTTTTTAAGTCTCCACGGTTTCCTGGTTCCTCTGGGTTTCTTGTTCCACTGATCTCCGCCTCCTCTGTAACAGGCTCTGAGATCAACCAGTTAGAGTCACTGGTGCACTGACAAAGACATACAGGTGGGAACACTGTTGTACTGAACAAACGTAAAGCAGGATACAAGGTATCCAGCACTCTGTGGTGTTGGAGTGCTACCTCTGCACCACATTTTATATTTACTATTCAGTTTTTCATTTTGTTTCAATTATTTCAAAGTATATATAAATATTAAATCAGGGTCATTGGACTATACACTGTCACAGCCAATACAAATCTGGAAGAAACCTTGCACAAAAAAACAAATGTCAAAAAACAAATTATGCGACTTACTGTCAATCATCTTGTGATGACATAATGGTTACCTGAACCCCAAGACAAAACCAATGCAAAAGCTACAGAAAAAAGCAACGCTGATGACCCAATTCCAATAAGATGGTACAAAGAAGGAAGCTGAAATGATACAAAACAGAACAACACTTTTTAGTCAAACAGTATAAAACAGTGACATCATGTGTAATTTCTACAAAACTCTTTCTAACCTGGAACCTGGATGTGAGTCTCTCTGGTCTGGTTGATGTCCTTCTGTTGGACTCTACAGGTGAAGCTGTTGCTGTGTCTCTTCTCCACAGTCACTCTGCTGCTGACAGTATAGAGGTCATCAGGACCTCTGACTGTCTCTGTAGGTCCAGCAGAGAGGAGGTTTCCCTCACCGTCCAGCCAAAACACCTCAGGCTCTGGATACCAGCCTGCAGACTCACACTGTAACACCACACTGTCACTGTTATCTGAGACAACCTGTATGATGGGTGAGGAGACAGCACCTGAGGAGGAATTTAGAGCAGTGGGTTTATGTTTAGAAAATATTTTCCACCAAAATATTTTAAGCCCTTGCAGATCTTTTAAATGTATGTACTACGTCATAAATAATAAATAAATTATCCACAGTCATCTGTCTGCAGTCTTCTCTGCACTGCCTTTTGTAGCAAATCATCACCATCAACTGTTATTATATGGTATTTAAAGGCACCCTGTGGGGGCTGGATGAAGCCTGAAGCTTCTGATTCTACACATGATCCAGGATGATACAGAAAAATAGAAATGAATGGCAAAAGTAGCTAATTGTCAATATTTTAAAGACAGCCCCAAAATTTAATTTTTTAGAAGACCTCATGTTGTATGCTCCCCTGTAGTTAGCACCCTGCGCAAAAGGGGAACCAGGGCATTAAAAAGCAACGTCAAGCAGTTGTTTGTAAGATTATGGAGTCTGACTCATATACCACAAGCACATTCATAATGTAGGGCAGCATACATGGGAGGTTCAAATGTTTGAGGCTGTTTCATTTCACACTTTGGTGCCCTACTTTTTTTTTCTGAGTCAGACTGTGACATTAAATAACTGTGAAAAGTACCAGAAAGTCTGAGAGTATCAGTAAAATGTTTCCACCACCAGTCTAACAGTCCTTTATCAGGATGAAGTTGAACAACAACTTGTTATTGGCAGTGAAAATATAAAAAGCAACTAACGCTCAAAATTTAAAGAACATTGAGTGTCTTCTGTTTCCCAACACACATCAACGTGTTACTGAAATTACCTCCAACGGACTGTATCAAAAGAATGACATGAAGGAAAATCAAAAGACTACAGCTCCTGAAGGACACTCCATCACTGGACTCATTTGGTTGCTGCATCCTGGACTCCTGGAAATGGAAAATAAACAGACAAAAATATGAGTTCTGAACAAGGTAGAAGTCCAGGATTCTAGTTTTTTTGTTTCACTTGCGCTCTTCCTCCTGTCACATTCCTCCTGTGATCTTTTAATCTTATCTATTTTCCTCTCTGGATCTACTTGTTTTAAACTGACCAAACCACAGCACACAGACAAACTAAAATGTGTTGTGACTAGCTATACAGTTCACTAACAAAGACCACGCCAATGTTGGGTATGAAAAGAAGTTTATTGGGATAATGAGGAGTATTTATGATGGAGGGATTGAGGGGACAGGGATGAAGGAGGCTGTGAAGGGTTTGGTAGCCTGGGTCTGAGTGACGTTTGAACCCAGGAGCTTCTTGCTGTGAGGCCGCAGTGCTGTCCACTCTGCAACCATGCTGCCCATTAAAAGAGGTGAAAAACAGGGTTTGCAGGGAGGGAAGTGAGAACTGAGAAAGGGGGTTAGACAGACTTATACACGTATGTGCATGTGAATGGATTAGAGAGGCACAGGTGGATGAAATGAGTGGATTGGAGGAGTTAGGGTTGTGCATCTATGCAGAGTTTTTTGTCATTAATATTTTTTATTAATTTTAATAATACTGATAATTGCAGATGCAATTCAACAGATTTCACATTTGAAAACAAAAGCAAATCAGACAAAACAGAACATTAAAGGCAGCTGAAAGGAACCAGCACAGCACACACTTTGCATACCATCTATGCAGAGTTGTGGAAAACCCTGAAAGGCTGATAATGTCTAAAGTGTTTATGACGGGACTCTTATGTGTTTCATGTTTTTTGTTTTATTCCCCTTGTAGAGTACATAGGTACTTTTGAAGATGTTTAAAAATATATATCTGAATTCTGTACAAAAAAGACTTGACCAACTTGATTCGTCCACCTCAGACTGCTGAAACTTCACGTTACTGGGATATCACCTTAAATCAAACATGAACATTTACTCAGAAGATGGATTTGAACTTCTGTCTCTCACACTGACGTTGTGATAGAGCATCAATTCAGAAAAAAATTACAGTGATCAATAAATCTGCTCCTCATTGTCACGCCAGTTCAATCACCAATTCAGTCTGAACTCCCACCCCCCTCCAGTTTTATGTGACAAAAAAAAATTTATGCATTGACATTCAAAATGCTTAAAAAGTAAGCTTCAACATGTTAAAGCATCAATAATTTCACAGAAGACCATTTAACATTTTCTAACCTACCGTTAACTGCTAATAGTACTTTATCCTTAAACACTGAATTAAGGACTATTACACTACACTATTTTGTGGTAGTACCTCATTTAGCCTGCTTACTATAAGAAACTAAAACTACTTATTAACTGTTAAATTATAAAAGCATCTGTCCAGTCACTTCATTGTCTTTCAGAATTTTACTTTTTAATATAAATAGTTCTGGCTTGTACACTTGACTGTGTAAAAGTACTTTAACTTAATAGAGAATCAGAAATTTCTAAATAATAATAAAACATTTTCTACACACACACACACACACACACACACACACACACACATATATACATATATATATATATATATATATATATATATATATATATATATATATATATATATATATATATATAAATAAATACAAAAAACATTATACAACATTGCTTGTAAACGCACAAATTAATCTTAACGTTGTCTTAACAGTCAAATGAAATTATGAGATTCAACATATAACATAGGCAACTCTTACCTCTCACCAGTGTAAAGAAGAAACTCTTGTCTGAAAATGAACATCTACATATAAAAACAGATCCTGTGGTTTTCTCACCGTTTTAATTAGGAACTCAAGTACTTCCTTGTGACATTTTACAGTAGCCTACATCTTTGTTGAGAGTTTCACATGCGCTGTACCGATCATCCTCCACCCCAGGGCTCAACTATATGGACTGCCCGACCTGCAGCCTCTCCCCTCTTTTGTGTCTCTGTAGAGCACCTCCACTCCACTCCAAATACACAAACACACACACATCAGTCAGCAGACAAGTGGACAATACTGAAGTTGACGACAACTTATGGAATCACATTTGTGCCACTTTAAGGCAAACAAAATCTCTTAAACATCAAACAGAAAATAAGAAATAAAACTAGCTGAAGCAAAACATCTCAAAAGTAAAACACATAACTTTCAAGTAAACTGTTGGCCTTTTTTGATAATAAGTCCTTTTGTTTTGAGCTCCCTCTTCTGCATTCTCACCAATCAGTCCCCCGTTTTCAGCTTTGTTTTTACAGTTCTGACACAAACGTCTCTCAGGGGTAGCTTTTTCAGAGGTGCATCCCCATTGGCTAATGAGTGACTGCTAAATGCACCAGACATTGTTCAATGCAGCAAGCATTGACGCCCCAAACACTGGAAACTTTACTAGAAACTGGATTGCTACAAGATAAATAAAGTATGTTTTGATCATGTATATTGTCTGAGCTGTGGCATACTAGTCATTTTGTTGTCTTAAGTTAGAAATAAGACTAAGCCTTGTAGACTGCATTGTAGGTCTGTTCGGGTCTGCAGGTCTCACAATGGCACAAAGTTCTACAGAGAGACGGGAAATTACTGTTTTTTTAACAAAAGCTATCACACACAAATATGAGAAGCCGCCTAGGCCAAAACTGAATACTTTGGTTGCACTTATACATGTTGTCCTGCACATACATACATGCATACTGTCAGGCGTAAGTATGTATGTATGCACATGGTGAGAATGTTTACTATGTTTAAGGGGTGCGACCTGAGGCACAGTAGTTAATGCTCTTGCCTTTGGTGTGGGAGACCAGGGTTTCATCCCTGCGAGTGTCATGGCTCTTTATGTAGCAGTCTGGACATTGTGGGGACATGAAACCTTTCTTTAATTATTTTGGAGGTTTAAAAGTGACTACCAAATGAATTATGATTCTAGCTATCTAATTATGATTCTTACTATAACTACAATATATGTGTGTATGTATTGTATGTACCATGTCCTGGTTTTAAAATATGGCCCAATTGGATTCGTAAAATTGAATAGCCTTGACGTTTACTGTCAGCGTTTGCCTCTCAGTCCCTTCCTGCAGCCACACCCTCTCATCTTCAGCCCTCTGCATTACTGTCTGTCTCTGCCTCCCTGCTCACCTGTCACCAGGAGTCCTTGAGTTCAACAGACTGAAGATTGAAGGTCAGATAATGATGATCGAGGGGTTTCCAGGCGCTAAGAAGCAAGTTGCAACAAACCTTCAGGTCTGAGCCACATCCAAGGATTCCCAGGACTCCTTAAAGTAAGTTCATCAGGTTTCAGGAGTCTTTTGAGAGGAAGCGCCATGTGTCTTTGAGAGGCGTTCCTTGTTCTCAGGGAGGTTACAGGAGTACTTGACAGATAGGACATCCATGGTCGTTTAAGGATGACTTATCTAGGTATGCTTTTACATCCACAGTTGCACCATTGTCATGACAACCTGCATCATGGCAGCTGTCAGGATCAGAGGATTTGTGCTCTACGTTCACTGTATTAGTCAGAGATACTAGTGATACCATACTTCATGATGAAACGGTAAAGTCTGTTAATTAAAGGACAGAATAAAGCCTCTCATCAAAGCAGCTGACCACCAGAGGGAGCCAAATAGAGATATTTTACTTAAGTAAAAGTAGAACAGTACTAATAATATGTTAAAAGTAAACGTCCTGCATTCAAATCTTGACTTTAACTACTAAAAGTACAAAGGTATTAACATTAGTGTAATCAAGGTACAAAAAGTACCACATTTGCCACATTTCACATAGTTTAGTTTTAAGACTTTAAACTTAAATAGGCTTTCTATTAAAACATTGACTTCACAGGAGTGAAACTAGCCTTAGACTTTCAGGATCATCCGCCTATTTGATCAATTTATAGTCAGTAAATTTATTATTACTATGAGTTTTGATAAATTTTCCTCCTTTAAAGATATATGCATGCCTAATCTGTGCTTTCTTTGCTGTGCATTATGTCTTTGAATTTATGATTTTAGTTAGTTATCAATCCTGACTTTGTTTCTTGACTAACACTCTGGGGCCATGGTCATCCTGTATATCCAATCCATACTGTTCAATTAATCATTTTCAGTCTTGTATTCTAAAATTTTAAAGTAAACAAATCAAATCATCAATTTCTGAATTCAAAAAGACCTTAAAATGTCTGTCTACCTCAAGCCTATTTTGTTTTGAAAAGCTGACTGCTGGTGGATCATAATCTCCACTGAAGATACAATGAAAGAGCAAAAAGAAATTGTGGTGTTATGATTGATTTACTAGGGGGTGCCCTTTGTATTTGTATTTTGTGAATAAAGGGAACACTGAAATTTAACTTTATGGAGCACTTTATTTGAGCATACGTTAACACAGTATAGTAGACATAAAAGGACAGCCTCAAAAAACATAATATAATTCATATTTACATATCTTATACAACAATTAAGAATTTTAATTAAGAATCAATTCTTCATCACAAGTACAAAGCATTGTAAATAATGCCCCTCCACATACAACTCCAGACATCAAATCTTATTGTAATACCTTACAACATGCAGTACATTTTTTAAAATAAATTCAGATGTTTAACATCTGTGGAAAGCAGAAAATGCAGCTTTTTACCTTCATTTTTACAAAGAAAATCAGACTGAGACCAGGGTTTGTTTTACAGATGAGCCCTGTGTTTAGCATATAAAAAACATAATTTAGAAATAAAAATTACATTCAACAGTAATGTGTTCATTCAGCATTTAAATTGTCCAGTAGAAACATTTTCTGAAATTTATTGTGTTCAAAGGCTGTTCTCTGTAACTGAGTCGAAGAATCCGTAAGACCAACCAATCTTTGGAACGAGTCAGATAACTTATTTATTATACGTATTTTGCATGCATTACGTAGCCTTAGCCTTTAAGAAAAGAGTTCCACCCCACTAGATTGTACAAGAGACAATGGTATTGACAATAAGTATTTGTAAGATGGAACACGTTCTATAACAGAACTGATGATTTTAAGGCCATGATGCACTTTTACTGCTTTGTGTTTAGCTCTGTGCTCTTCCTCATGGTACTAACAGCTCGGATTCCTCTGGTAAGTCTGCCAAGAGTGTAAAGCGGTTATTAGACAGGGTTGTAAGCGCTGAGGAATGTCTGCGCTGAAGCTTGGGAACACTTGGACGAAGCTGAGCAGTGGGCTCACTTATGGAACGACTGATCTTTTTCTGTAAAATGTTGGCTGAAAAAGAACCAGACAACACTGGAACCTTAAAGTCCAAAACAGCAGGGCTGCTGTTGTTATGACGTTTTCTTGAGACTGGGCAGTCAGATGCTGGATTGCCGTGTTGTTGTGAGATGCTAGGAGTCGGAACCTGATTCTGGGGGAAGCTGTGAGCTACTGGAGGGTTGCTGTCACTTGAAGCTGCAGGACTGCAAACAACATTTGATTTCAAGTCACGTTGCTGTGGGCGGTTGGTCTCCTCTTTCTCAGAAAGCTTTGACTTGAGGTCAGCCACGATTCTGGTCAATGCCTCAAAGCTGCTGTTTTCCACAGTGTCAGCACTGCAAACCCTGGCTCTCTGCAGAAGCAGTTGATTTCCAGAGGTACCACTGACTGTAATTTGATCTGACGACTGCCTTGTCACAGACTGTTCTTTTCTTTCTGCTGTGTGAATGAAAAAAAAAAAGGCTGTTAGTTTCACATTAATCTTTTATTGAAGGATAATTTCTTCTGCCCGGATCTCATGCAGTTAACTTGGTGAGTACAATATTGTTATAAATGATGGACATGATGCCAAAACAAAGAAAATACTGCTCAAAGTGAAGTAGGTGCCTGGAATTATCCTTTAAAAAGTCGTGCACAGAATGAGCCTGACCTTCAGAGGTTGATTCCTTCTGGTCATTTTATTTTTGCCTTCATAAATCATCAAATAGTGTACACTTAATTAAGCAAATAGAGAATGACAAGGCCTGTTTCCAGATCTGTTTTATGTCAAACTAAACTCTTGCTACAACTGTTTCACAAGTCCTCTTCTTTGAAGTTCCAACACCTCAATGATAGTGATTATAAAACATCACACATTTCAAAATGGATAATTCATGTCTTATTTGCACATATAAATAATGTCTGGTTACTTATTAACACAGACAATGTTGTCTTGCAATTTGAGGAGATTTATGATGTCATGTTTGCATTTTGATCTGTTGCCTCCACCAGTCTTAATACATGACTTTCAATGGGCCTCATGCGAGAACATTTTCGTATCCATATACTAAAATCTGTCTTTCTCTTAGGTTTAAATACAAAAACTCCATGATGATGAGGATATGGAGCACAGCATGGTCATTTTGAATTTAATTTGCCATACAACTGTTCATTTTAGTTCATATCATAATACTCTACAATGTTATGATTTTTAAGTCAGCGTCATTGTGTTTTCCTTGTGGTTCTTTGCATAAGGTGGGCGGTGACTTTTGTCTGACTGCTGCCTCTCAGAGTGGAGATGAGCTGCCATCTTGTGAAACTCTTATGTTACTACAAGATGTTAAACTCACCAAGGCAGAAGTCTATGTTTGAGCAAGCACTACATTTGCACTGCTTTTTCTAATCAAGAAGGGAGTTCTGATATAAAATACAGTTTTGTCTCAGTGTTAGCGACTTACCAGATCTGCCACATCTCTTCCATAACATCACAGCTAATCCACATAATGTTGCAGACAGAAGTAAAATGGCCTCTCCAACAGCGATGGCAGTCATTAGGGAGCAGGAACGTACGTAGTCATCTGGAATGACAATAAACATGATGCTGGCATAATAAATACAATAAATCCCACAAGGAGACGACATGACTGGACTGTTATCAGGAGCAGATTTCAGTTTGCTTTCCGCTGCCTGCTATTTGTATCCCTCCAATCAAGAGGATGAGCTTCTCTTGCCAGGCCGTGGTGGCGTGAAGTCTGTACATTCATTATGTTCCATAAAATATCAGACACCACAAACATGAAGAAATATGATGATGAAACTCTGCTGTAACAACTTAAAGTGTGACCTGAGGTGTGTTGTTTAAGCTGCAGTTTACCTGGTATGAGGATCTGAGTGTCCCTGGTCTGGTTGATCTCTGGCTGGTGGACTCTGCAGGTGACCCTGTGATGATAGACATTCGATTAACTTTAAATTTAGTTTATGACAAATAGTTTATGCTCTAGACCTGGTCTAAATGAAAAATACAGTGAGGTAACTTCTGCACTATTTAAATAAAATAGTAGTGAATGATCATACAAGCAATGTTTTTATATGGAAGAAAACGCATTTTGTCTTGTTGAGTCACTCTGTGTATTTGTAACATATTAATATTAAGAAAATGTTTTTTTTCACCAGTATGACATCATGATTCAACCCCAATTTGTGTTACTGCGGTCATCCCCTGGGGGAAACTGCACACATGAAAAATGTGATTAATGTCCCTACTTTATTTGATATAAGCACACGGGGGCATACTTCACCAGTGTTGACATCACACTACCAATTTATTTGATGTTAAATCTGTTTTCTTATTTGTACGAAAAGCCCTTTGTGTTGGGAAATTACCTTTCCTCCCAAATACAGTGTCTGATTTCATGTTTTTGTACATGAGTTTGAGATCCGATGCTAAAAGCCAAACTTTACATACAAACATATGAACTGAAAATATTTTAATAATAATAATCTGAATTTAAACCTGTTGGTAGGATGCTGGAGAGTCACTCTTTGTGTCACAGTGTACACCCTCTGGCATCTTGATCTCTTTTTGGGGCATCAGCAGGGATGTTGTTTCCCTCGTCATCCACAAACGTGAGCTCAGGCTCGGGCAGCCAGCAGTCCGCCTCACACTGAAGAGTCACTCCTCCACTCTTGGCTGAAATCACTGAGAGTTTTGGCTCAGAAACTGCACCTATAAAAACAAACAGTTACGCAAGGCGTGAGCTTGGGATGTTCCATTCAACATTTCTGTAACACCATTTCAAATATTAATTATTTAATGAAAATATTCTCAGATTCCTGCCTTTTAAAACACAGTCTGACTCACCAACAGTGAGTTGGATGGAAGTATTTTCCTGCATCAGAGATTTTCACCCCTGAAGATTTTCAGGGAGACGTTTCCTTTTGTAAGTTGATCCACAAAAAGTATTGTACGATAATGATAGGATGGATTTTGCCTCTGAAACATCAGTCGTCCATCGTGGTGAAAATGGATGTACTTTGGGTCCAAACCAGGTTTGGTCCACACCACTGTCTCAGAACCGGCACTCACTGCAGGTTCAAGGTGACATGGCAAAATGACATCATCACCAGCCAGGGCTACGATTGGTTGATGTGAACAAATCAACTCTGACTGAGCTGCAAAGACAAACAAAAGAACAAACAAGAAACAGCATAAAAAATGTCATCAAAATTTAAATTTTATTCTATAAATAATAAATTCTTAAATAAATATATCAGAGCTGCATTAAAAAAACAGGGAAAACCATCAAAATTGTTGTCTGTACAATTATGGAGCCCCGGCCCCTGGGAGCCAGGCTCAGTCTGACTCTTCACATTTTGAGCTTTGTTTAAACTGTAGGGTGTTTTAACATATCTGGCTGGATACGTCTTTTTGCTTTCTTCTTCTTTGTTGATCACAGTTTTTTTTTCTGAGGCAACTTGTTGCATTGTCTAAACTGTAAAAAGTCACATAGAGATTGAGACTGGGAGTAAAATATTCCTACCATCAGTCTACAAACAGGGGGAAGTTCAGCAACAACTTGTCATTGGCAGTGAAAATACGCTCTGAATCTGATTCTATAAAATAAATTTATTCAGGAGTTTTTCAGTCCACCAATTTGATTAGAAGATTAGAAGATGGTTCCCATAAAATGTTAAAGAGACATTCATGCATTCCAGATCCTTCTTACTTTGATGATCCCCTGACTTTTCCTCTATTCCCACCATATGCTCACGGTTGTAATATGGCCAATACTTTGGTTTTTGACCAAATAACTGTGAAACTAATGACACTCCCATCAGCCTCAGCGGTGCTTTGTGTTTAGCTAAACTAATATGGTGAACATGGTAAGCATGTTAGCATATTGGCATTAACAGTGAGCTCAAACCACAGCTAACCCCACAGAGCTACCAGTGTAGCTGTAAACATGTGGAACAATGGTAAAATTGTGTGATACATTTGCTAAATTGACAATAAATTTATAAATTAGTTATGAAGTGAATATTTACAGTGCCCCTCATTTGATGTGAAGTTGTTGTTGTTACAGAAATGGATAGGAATAATTCTAGATAGGAAGCCTTTTGCTTCCCAACACATCAAACGTTGAAATTACCTCCAACAGACTGTATTAGAAGAATGACATGATGGAAAAGCAAAACGCTGACAGTCCTGAAAGACACTCCATCACTGGACTGCAGCATCCTGGACTTCTGAAAAAAACCAAAGGCTTGTTGTTTTCATCAAAACACAAATAATACTGAATGAAACATTTATTTATTTTGTGGAAAATAAGCGAGTTTCTGAACAAGGGACAAAGCCTGGATTCTACTTTTTTTTGTTTCACTTTCTCTACTCTTTCTGTCTTCAAGCTTTAAAGGATACATTTAGATTTTTTTATCTACATTTAAAGAGTTAATGGCCACTGTAATTGTTCTTCCTGAAGTGATGCTCGGTCACATGGTCAGTGTAAGAGATAGGAGTTAAAATCCTTCTTCTGTGTAAGCATTCATTCTTGAGTTTAGCTGAAGATACCAGTAACGTGACGTTTCAGCAGTTAGACGAATCAAGTTGGTCGAGTTTTTTTTTAGTACCAAATTCAGATATCAATACTTTTTAAAACATGTGAAAGTAACATGGTAACCTAATGAGTAACGCAACTAGTTAATTTTAATATTAGTATTATTATTATTTTAGTAACAAGTAAAATTAACTATTTCTGATTAACAAAACATGCATCTCATGTTCTCTGCGGTTTAGTCTGTTTAAAACAGGAAGTCCACTAGTGTGATGTAATAACAGAAAAATAAGCAAAAATCCCCAATTCAACCTTCTAAATACTTGCCAGGGTCCAGACCTTTGAATTCACCCACTCCCCCGAGTTTACAATTCTGTCTGATATCAGCCATGTAAAATACTATAACTGTAAAGGTCTAACTTTCAACATCAGGCTCAGCTCTAATACTTTATCAATAATTTCACAGGAACCTAAGTATTCAAAAGAAGTCTTTTTAAATTCATATAACCTACCTTTTAGTGCTAATAGTAGTTTATATTTACAGTAGATTACTGATTAAATTAGTAAAACACTGTCTTAAGGACATTGGATCTTGTGGTATTGTTTCATCTACTTCGTCACCACTGAAGTACAAAAACATGAAATCTTTCACTTCAACGTTTTTCAGAAGTTTACTTTTTTAAATAAATAGTTCTGTCTTGGAGTGCAAAATAGAGTTCAAAGTTTAATTCAGTATTTATAAAGTTTTACTTTGAAACTCTTACCTGCTGTACAAGAATGCTAACTCTCCAGTGTGATGTTGTGTTGTTCTCGTATGGCATGACATGAGCAAGTATGAGTACTTCCTCATGAGGTTGCACAATATATGGTAACCTCATGCAATCCCCCTGCTGAGAAAAAAAACACATTAGATTGGTGGAGGATGGTGAACTATACATTTCAAGCAAGCAATACAATATAGAGTTTGGGGAAAAGTTATTTTTTGCCATTTTGTGGCCGACCCCTTGGAGATACATAGACATGCAGGGTATCAAATGAAAGGTCTGCTCAAGCCAGATCGATTGATGCCCCATCACTGTGGGATGGTTCTGTTCTCAATCTACAGGCCTGTAAAGCACGGGAGTGCTTTTGGTGACAGGAATGTTGATGAATACTCACTGTTTTTGTCAATATTTCAATGTTTTGTTATTTGAAAACTTGCTTGTATGGACAGAAAAAGTGTTTTAAAGATATTGTCACAAGCCAGCTCTTAGCCCGTGACAAAAAGGAGGTGAGACTCAACAGGTTTGCATGCCAATGGTATGATTTATTATAAAAGTAAAAGAAGGGTCAAATGATCACCAATAATATGTGGTGTGGCAAAGTATGACTATCAGTTGTGTCAGCAGTGAATGGATGAGTGAGATGTGTGTGTATGTGTGTGTTGTCAGAATTAACCAAAGAAGAAACACAAGACAAACCGGCTGTAGAATACCGGCCTAGGAGGAGAGAGCCCAAAGACTGATCAGTCCTGGCTAAATAAGCTCTGAAAGTAGAGCTGCACAGGTGATTGTCCAGCCCAAACAGCCTCCCTGCCTGCAGCCTCCTGCAGGAGAAGGAAGCAGGAAGGGGGGAGGGTCGTAACAATATCTCCCAGTAAAAAGTCAACATTTAAACAGTAAATATTGCCAAAATATGGACATTCGCCAATATTTTATGATAACTGTTGTATTTTAATTTATTTTCATCAAATTTACAGTTAAAATTGCATTTTAGGTGTATTAGAAGATATTCAGTTGCATGATAATCTTCCCTATGATGGTTTTCATGGTTTATTGCATTAAAATTCATCTTACATTAGTGTCAGATTCATTCAGCTGTAGGAAGTGACCACTATCCAATTGTAATTAAAGTAGGCCTAAATTCAGTAGTGCTGCTCAAGAGACATTTAGGTATTTTAGTAAAGCTATTCTGGAGGCTGCAAAAAAAGTGAATGTAGAAGAAAGGAGAAGAAGTTAGTTAGTAGAGGTTCATTTAGAGAAGTTACTAAACAAAACAAAACCAAGTCACAGAACAGAAAGAAAGGAAAAGTGTTTATGTGGTTAGAGAAAAATAAATGTAACTACATAAATCATTAAAATGAGACTTAATGCATTATAATACATTAAAAAGATGCATTATTAAATTAATTGATGAATTGAAAGTACCTGAAAACTTCATAATCAATGTCAAAACCAGTTTTATTGACCAGCTGTGTTGACACATACAGTACAAACAATTTGACTCCAGAGTAATTCTCAATGTGCAGAGAACTAATACAGGCATAAACAAATATATTAAGCTTTGCAAATATAAGTTAACTTATAACAAATATGTAGCTATGATGTCCAGGCAAGAGTTCGACAACAAACTGTCTTCATACAGGTCAGTTAGAAAAGGCACGTCAGTACTGGAGTAAATAATGTATAAAGTATAAGTTACCCTATTTACAGAAGTGAGTTGCAGATTGCATAAATATGTTGGTGCATATAAAGTGAACACAAACTAGACTCTCTCTCTCTATATATATATATATATATATATATATATATATATATGTTATGAACAGTTATGAACAAGTTAACACCAATAACCATGTTCTTGTCCTGTTTGGTGTCCGATCCAAAGAAAAGGCTCAATGATAAAGTTTATCAACAGCTCTTTGTCTCATCTGTACAGAGACTGAGAGTCTGCAGCCAGCCATCAGCTCTGTGAGGCTGCACAACGGCACAGAGGTGCTTTGAGCTAAATGCTAATACTAACATGCTCACAATGACAAATGTGAGCATGTTAGTGTGAATCTAGTGGCATCGAATGAACTCTTCTTTTACCATTAGCTCTTTTTCAGTTCGCTGCCCTGTCATTTGATTTCCTCCGGACTTTTCAGAAACTCTACTTCCTGTCCTCACTCCGCCTGAAGTTCTTGTCATGTTGGGGCGGTGTCTTCTGTTTTTTTGCTGTGACATGTCAGACATCTTTGTCTTCCCCTTAGATCAATCTGTATTTCCTTAACCTG